GTCCAAAGAACAGGTGATAGTGGGGAGATACATGAGGCAGCATGGTGAAACCAATGGGCAGTGGGGGAACCCGTCATCACACATCACCCGCATCGTCCCCTTACCCATCCCAGTGGGGAAGCGTCGCCGCCAAGCTTCTCGTCACACTTGCCTTGTTCTTATCTATGAGAACATGGGAATTCCTAGGAAGCTGCCTGGAAGCTGGAAGTATGGAGCCCCATAGGAATTAGCCCTGCATCGTCTGATGGGCTCTGGCAGGCTCTGCCCACCCAGCATCCTGGGGTGATGAAAAACCTCAATGTGATGAGGTCCTCTGTGTCCACTGTGTCCACTGTATTGCTCTGTCAGAACTGAGCATGTAGTTGTTACACTGGAAACCAGCAAGATAACACCATGCAGCATGTAATTCTAAGCCCAATGTTCCAAGAGTTCACTCCCAGATTCATTTCACTGGAATTTTTATTTGAAAATTCTATTGTTTTCTCTGTTGCTATGCAGCAAGGGATGATGAATTTCCCAACACACAATGCATGATAGGAAACAAAGATGTCATCCACATAAACTCCACCTAGCTGTGTGTTAGATTGGCAAAACAAGCTTTCAGGTTTCCCACCAAAAATAAATTTTAAGATACACAAGGGATGAAAGTGGTGAAAATAATAAATACCATAATAACACATGTTAAGTAGAACTAGGTGTGTGCTACTAGGAGTTATTTTCATAAGGACATCTTTCCCAAGGACACTGGCCAGATTACTTCATTTCTTACATTAACAGAACTGGTCATATAAAAAAGATGATTCTCTCTATCTTAAAGTCTGGTCAAGTCAATGTTGTAAGGCAGTGGTTCTCAACCTGGGGGTCGGGACCCCTGCGGGGGTCGCCAGGGAGTGTCAGAGGGGTCACCAGAGACCATCAGAAAACACAGTATTTTCTGTTGGTCATGGGGGGTTATATGTGGGAAGTTTGGCCCAATTTGATTGTTGGTGGGGTTCAGAATGCTCTTTGAATGTAGATGAACTATAAATCCCAGCAACTACAACTCCCAAATGTCAAGATCTATTTTCCTCAAACTCCACCAGTGTTCCCATTTGGGCATATTGGGTATTTGTGCCAAGTTTGGTCCAGATCCATCATTGTTTGAGTCCACAGTGCTGTCTGGATGTAGGTGAACTACAACTCCAAACTCAAGGTCCCCACTAACCCCTTCCAGTGTTTTCTGTTGGCTTCTTTGTGTGCCAGGTTTGGTTCAATTCCATTGTTGGTGGAGTTCAGAATGCTCTTTGATTGTAGATGAGCTATAAATCCCAGCAACTACAACTCCCAAATGTCAAGATCTATTTTCCTCAAACTCCACCAGTGTTCCCATTTGGGCATATTGGGTATTTGTGCCAAGTTTGGTCCAGATCCATCATTGTTTGAGTCCACAGTGCTGTCTGGATGTAGGTGAACTACAACTCCAAACTCAAGGTCCCCACTAACCCCTTCCAGTGTTTTCTGTTGGCTTCTTTGTGTGCCAGGTTTGGTTCAATTCCATTGTTGGTGGAGTTCAGAATGCTCTTTGATTGTAGATGAGCTATAAATCCCAGCAACTACAACTCCCAAATGACAAAATCAATCAATCAACACCCCCCCCCCAACCAATTCCACCACTATTCAAATTTGGGCATATCGGGTATTTGTGCCAAATTTGGTCCTGTGAATGAAAATACATCCTACTTATCAGATAATTACATTACAATTCATAACAGGAGCAAAATTACAGTTATGAAGTAGCAAAATAATGTTATGTTTGGGGGGGGGGTCACCACAACATGAAGAACTGTATTAAGGGGTCGCGGCATTAGGAAGGTTGAGAAACACTGTTGTGAGATATTGTATTCTGGGGTGTTTGGGAAATTATGACCATTCAAAGGTTCTTGATTTACAGTTCCCTTCACCCCTAGTCAATGTGACTAATGGTGAGAGATTATGGGAACTGAAGTCCAGAGTGACATAGTTACCCACACCATGTTGTGACATTCAATGTGAGATCATTGGCTTAAAATATCAGCAATTAAAAGAACAAAGCCTTTCTGGCAAATAATGGTGTCAAGAACATAAACTGTTTTTTTGACCTGGCAGGGCATCTATTTCTATATGATGTGTCAGGGACCCCAAGAGCCCTCCTTCTTAATGATAGGACACATATCATCAGCAGTATGGACAAAGTTCCCCCTTGTCTGAGTCATTTGAAACTAGCAAAATCAAAACCAATGAAGACTTATTTGGGGTGGGGAGGAAGAAAATGTGGATCATGGTATCACTGCTAGAAGGAGAGTTGTTCAAGTACAGTAAGTTTGGAACATTCAAAGCACATAAGATTTAGGAACATGTCATATCCTTCTCTGAGCTTTATGGACAGGTTTACAAGACCTTTCAGACTGAGCTTTATAAGGCTTGTCACCAATAAAGACAAACTCTGTATGTGTGTTGTTCATGAGGAACATTTAGAAGCAAGTAGTTCCCAGAATGTTTTTGTTAATCCCATTAGATGAGAGTTAATGTGCTACGGTCTAAACATATTTTCTTTACTAGTCTATATTCAGAATTTATTTGCACCTATAAATATTATCCATAAATATTATTCCGAGAAGCTGGCAGAAACGTGTTTGCTTATTCCAGACTCATTATAAAACAAACATAGCCAACAACAGCTAATGAGAAAGTTGGTCAGAGATTATTTATTATATATCAACTGATTTAATTATTGTGATACATTCCAAAATAAAAACAATTTCAAAGATAAGGATGAAGTAAGAGGTTTTTATATCACAAACATTTTAATGACCAACCAGCTTGTAACCAATTTGGAGTACCTTATGGTCTATTGCTTATATGGAGCCTGTGACCAGCTTTCATCTGGCCACTGGCCCAGGTAAGGAAGGTAGAACAGCTTAGAAACATTAACAATGGCAATAAGTTGTGAGGCCTGTGTGATTTTCCATTGTTAACACACATATACACAAAACTTTATTAGCTAGAAAAATTTCAGTTGACAATACCTCAGTGTGCAATATCTTCCCTAGAGAGGTTTACCTGGCCTCTATATTGTGGCATTTTAAGCAGCAGATGAAAACTTTTCATTCTCCCAGAATGTTTATTTTTCATTTTGAAAAAAAAGGGTTTTAGAGTCATGTTTTATGCCTTTATATGTGTTGTAGTACAGCGTGATAATAACGTTACTACTACCGGTAGAAGGGAGAAGAGGGCTGTGCAGGTGTTTCGAGGAGGAGCAGCAGCGGAAGCGGATTATAGACATATTCATGGCTCCAACTGATTCCGAATCCTTCGAGGGTTTCTCAGACTGTGAAATGGGGGAAGGAGAGGAAAGCAGGGGAGCTAAGCGGGCTACTTGTGAACAAGAATCTGATGAGGAGATCAAAAGGAAGTGTATCTGTGATATACTTAGTGCTCCAACAGAAGATGAAGATTTTATGGGTTTTGAAAGGGGTGATGGGACTGGGAGTGACATTGAAGAGGAGGAGGATTTAGACTGGACCCGTGTACGGGGAAATTAGGGACCTCTGTACTCAGCCTACCTCCAGTGATGACTTTGAGGGGTTTGCAGAAGAGTGGCAATCGGGGAACACTTGGGAGGACCTAAGTCTTGACAGACGCTGGCAAAGGTGGAGAGATGGGAGGCAGTGTTCAGCTGCAGGGAATGGGGCAGCTGAAAGTGATGATGAAAGGGTGGGGAGCAGTTCATCCTCTGATGAGGAGCTTTAGGATATAAGTTGGTTTGGTTTCAATGGGTCTTTGCAGAAGGCAAAGTGTCTTTTTGGGTGTGAATCTTTGTTACTGCCATTACTCTCAAGCTTTGGTCCTTGGACTAAAGATCTTCGTGTTTCTGTGACTTCTGGCTGATACTCCGTAAGTGCTGACTTCAACTCTCCCTTTTGACTCTGGACCGTGTTTTGACAACGACTACGCTTTTTCGACTGCTTCTTCTTACCTTGGACATGCCTGGACTACGGGTTGCTTTTTGGACTCTGATTTTGCTTGCTCCCACCTTGTTTTCCTGTGCCTTTTGGACCTTTTGAATTACAAGCAGATTGCTGTATATTTTTTTATCCCATATTATACTCCGGGATAATCCGGATTATATTTAAATTGGGGTTTTTTTTACTTAGCGTTTGCTATAGACTTTCAGTTTGTGCTAGAGACACTGAAGCAAGTGTCTCTAAGCCTTTTTTTGTGTTTAATAAACCTGTGTTTGGACCTTTTATATTGTGTTTGGCGTTCTTGAGGCTTCTGGGTCTTGACAATATGTTACTTTTTTATCTCCATTTTGTGGACCACTCAAGGAAGTTTTGTGATTTGATAGTGTAGACATGTAATATATAAGAACGAGAAGCAGTTTTCAGTATTGGCAAAAACAACATGGAATGAGGCATTCAACTTTAGCCCTTGTTATAAACTTCATTTTCAACTACTCTAATCAATAAATGGGTGTCTATGAAATGGCTTAATACAAAAGAAGCTTCCTAATGGGTTTTAACAGGAATCAGGGCAATTAGCATAATAATAACTGTGTAGAGGTGAAATCGAAATGAGGTTGAGATGAACTGAGATTATGGAGACTTTTGAGGCAACTAGAATAACTAGGTGATGAATCTTGTAAATCTTGTAAAATAAGGGTGAGAAATGTGCAGAATTCTGTGCCCTCCATCATGAAAAAAATAGTAAGGGTCTGTTTTTTTGTTTTTTAAAAAACAAACCACGATAACTGGTAAGATTTGCATTTCTACATTCCAGAACATAATGGGTTCTGGCCTGTGTGAATTAAAGGCCCCAAAAAGGTGGATCTGGCCCTCCATGACTTCCTATGCTTTCCTTAAAGAAAAAGAAACAGCATTTCCATTTATAGTTCCCCTCCTGTTTGCAAAGGCACAGGTCATACCCTCCTCCCATGTAAAGGAAAGAGATGGGTTCGCTTGCTTATAGGCTAAATTACTGACCTGAAGCATCTGGAGATAACCTTCTTGTGGGTCACAGAGGAGTGATGATATTCGGTGGTTGTTCTTCATGCATCTTTGATTGTTCTCTCTTGACAGAGGAAAAATCTGTCTTATGACTGTCATTCTCCCAAGAGCACTGTGTACCAGTTCTAAAATTTCATTGTCGCTGATTTCCTATAAGAAAACAACACATTAATTCATTTAAAATACTATATCTTCCCAATACCCTCACCTATTTGAAAACAAAACATTGTTTGAAAACTTTCTCTATTTTTACGATACAAATTATGGTAAGTCCAGCCCCCTGTAGTATTCTGAAAGCTTTTTGTAATGAGGGGGGGGGGGAGAATTAGAGTTTGAAAATTTAACATTCTTATTTTGTTAAAGCCAAGTAGGTCAATGTCTGGATGAGAGTCAGCTTATTAAAAGGTCCACATAAGCCTCTCAGGCTTCCAAAGTGAACAGAGGATACAACTGTAATAAATTAATAGACAGAATAATTAAAACAGAGCAAATTCATGCTGCAGTATTTTTTATGGCCAACTGATTTTTTATCTATCAAAATTCAGACTTATCTGATGTATTAAAATGTTAATTATACAGGAGAGCTGAAGCTTTCTTCACAACCTTCTTTCAACCTGCTTTTTGAGTCCCTCCATCTTGGTTTAAGATGTAAATACTGACTTGGTTCATCCTTGTTCAACAAACCAAGAAGACTTTGAAAGATCTCCTAGATATATTTCTTCAGATCTCTTATCTAAGCCAATGCATACTAGATTGACAACATTCTGCCCTTTTTTACTAGGACCTACCTAGAGTTACAGCTTCTCCATCCTTGTGCTGTACCATGTGATACTCTTTTTGTCAGATTCTTAGAGATACAGCAAACCACTATGACAACATAATACTGAAATTTGTTAACTGAAGATATGATAAAGACTAACAGCTTTAGGTTTAGCCAAAAACAGTATGTCTCCTCTGAATGAATGCTTGCAAGCAGTAATGGACTGGATGAGGAAAAACCCCAAAACAAATAAAAACTCAATCCAAATAAGACAAAGGTGCTCGCCTTAACGGTTCTAACCTAGGGTTGAAGGTGTGTCAACCATTTCTAGATGAGGTTACTGCTGGACACTAGGTCAGGAACACCTTTTCACCCAGCATCAAACAGAGTTCAGTAGTTGCAAACTACTGAAGTTTATTTACAAAGGGCATATACAAAAGGGAAAATGGGAAATTCCCAAAGGAAGTAGAAAAGATGCTATAAAATAACAATAGCCCAAAATATACAGATCAATAGTTCAAGATTGTAATGACCATGAAATCCAAGATAGCAAGATATATGAAATCCTCAACAGCAAGGTACATGAAGTCCAAAATAACAAGGTACAAGAAATCCAAGGAGTCAAAACATAGTCAAAAATCCATAGCATGAAAACAGGAGCTTAAACAAGGCAAAAACCCATTCAGAAATGTAGACAAACGAGAGCTAGTCATGAACTTGATTTTAAAATGAAATTGTCTGTTCTAAAGAGCCCAGAGAAGCAGCAGATAATTTAAGCTGAAACCTGACCAAACAGACATGAGATCATATTTTCTGCACCTTTGTTTCAAGGACTGTTTCTCACAGATTCTTTCTAACCTTCTCATTAACCTTTCATTAGCTCTCTCCGAGCACAGATCTAATTTCATATCACGGGGCAACCCACCATCTTCTGAAGGCTGAGAAGTCTGGGAAGGACACTTCTCAAGAGAAACATCCTCTATCTCTTCTGCAGTTGTAGACCCTGGCCTGTCTCTGTGATCTATGGCCTGCATTTCTGTCTGTTTCAACCTGAGGAACAGCCTCAGTGAAATTCTCATCATCAGAATCCCTAGTTAAACTCTCCTGAAAGATTGTGTTCATGGGAGTGCTCCTGGCTCTGTCTCTCTAAATGTCGGCTCAACTAGATACCAAGGTCAAGAATGCTTATTACCAGCTTCGGCTGATATGCCAGCTGTCTACCTTCCTAGAACTGGAGACCTAAAGATGGCGGTACAAATGCTGGTAACCTCAAAGTTGGACTTCTGCAATAAGCTTTAGATTGTACCAAGTTCAGAAACTCCAGTTAGTTCAAAACATATCAGCCAGATTGGTTATGGGAACATCTAGTAATGAGCATATTACACACATACTAAAGTCACTCGACTGGTTGCCAATTAGTTTATGAACAAAGTACAAAGTCTTGGTTATAACCTTTAAAGCCCTACATGGTTTGGGTTCAAGATACTAACAGGACTGCTTTCTCCCATATAATCTGTTCTATTCACTTAGGCCCTTTTGTGAACGTTTGGCTCAACCAAACAGAGTTTGAATGCCAACTGTCACCCAGACATTTATTTGGCTACCTCAAGACTTTGGAATGACCTACTGGATGATATTCAATTGCAAAATGAGCAGTCAGAATTCAAGATACAATTGAAGACAACCTTTGTGGTAGGCCTACCCAGTCCCTCATAAACTGTGGGTTTTAACTTTATATTTTATTAGTATGGGTGTCAATCTTTGTTCTGTATATTTTAATATATGCATTTTAATAGTATTATATTTTATGTGTATGTTTTAACCATGTCGTGCCTCACCTCAAGCTGTGAGGAGAACCAAGTAACAAACAAGCTTAGTAATACAAGTAGTAGTAGTGTTGGGATTAGAGAAATCAGTAAAGGAATAAAACTATCTAGCTCTACTACCTATATGAACTCACTTGGTCTTCCACTTTAAGAGTGTTAGTCATGGTCAATAATTCATTTTTTTTCATAATAATTTCCAAAGTATATTATCAGCATGAAATAAACTGACATTTTTATTTCTCTGCTCTTGGAATGCAAGATTATCATCATGAATACTACAATTCAAGTTGCCAGAGGTCTTTAAGCTGATCTGTTTACTCTGAGGTATAGGAACATGAGTTTCAAATAACAATTTCATACCAGTCATCTTGGTGTAAATTTATACAGAATAATATATATATAATTTTTTACAGTTGTTTGGCTTTATGTATTCTATGGCCATTTGACACACTGTTTTCATAGCAGCTTGGTTTGTGCCTCACTATTCACTATGATAGCTATGCTGAATAAAAACATTCTTCTTCAGTGTTGGAAAACTCAAAGAAGGAGGATTCTGTACCGATGACCATCTTTTAAGTTCACAACTTGTTCTATACAAAATTTGTACACATTCACACAAAAAACTGAATTTGCAGAATAACTCTAAATCTGATCTTCTTATGACCCACCCAGTACCTTTATTGCAGTTTCTACCACAATAAAGTAGGGGCTGTCCAGACAACGTTCTGGACAGTCCTGAATTAATTCACCACAAACCAGGAAAACCCTGGTTTGTGGCGAATTAATTAGATAGTGGATTTATTCTGCGCCCACTATTTCTGGCGTTTGGACTATAGTCCAGACACCATTTCAACAGTTTACGGGGTGAAAGAAGTCCGGTAAACTGTGGGAATATACGCCCTTCCCTCAAAGCCCCCAGACCCCTTTGAAAAGTAATGAAAACTTACCTGGCCTCCATTACAGGCTTCAAGCAGCTCACTCTCTCTCCCCCCCCCCCCCCCCCCGTTCTCCTGGTGTTATTTCTACATGCCAGGAGAGCTGCTCAAAGCCTGTAATGGAGGCCGGGTAAGTTTTCGTTACTTTTCAAAAGGGTCTGGTGACTTCAAGGGAGGAGGGGAGGGCCTCCAGACATTCTCTCAGTTTAGTCCCAGGAGAACATCTGGATACCCACCCCAGAAAGCATGCACTTTCTGGGGTGGGTGTAGACAGCCCCCTAGGAACATCCGCATTTTAAAAACATGAATAATCCTGGGATAAAGGGCTATCTGGAACCGCCCAGAGAGTAATTTAGACATATTCTCCATTTGTATTGATGGCTTTATGGTTCAGATAATTCATATTAGAGATGTCAATAATAATTGTAATTAAAATAGCAGAGAAAGTTGTGACCAATAGATTTCTTCCTCTAAAGCAGTAATGAGCAACATGTGGCTCATCTACTTCTGTGGCTGATATTTTGCTATGAAGCCCATTTTGGTTATGAACGGATAGAAAAATAAATAAAATAAAAGGTATTACAGCAAAATGACTACATTTTTATTTCTGAATAAGACAAGAGAAAGAGTTCATTACAGTTTAAAGACCAATTAAATCCCTGGACATATGATCACATTTTAAAACAAGGTCTGTGCTCTCTCTTGTTCTGATGTAAAAGGATATGGTTTTGTGTGTGCACGTGGATGGCTTGTCTCCTGTGGATTCCGATAATGTGACATTTTGCCCTTGGACTCATGAAGTTGCTTACTATGTTCTAAAATAATATTTACAATCAGAACAATGTTGAGTCTGTGTAAAATTCTAAGACCATTTCTCATTTTTTCTAACTGCATTATTTCATAATATAAGGGATTAACAGAGGCTTATAAGCAAAAAACAAACAAACAAAGCAATTTCTGCTGATTTAATTATAGAAGCCATCTACAGATAGTAACACACATAAGCACACATAATGGCTTGGCATATACTCATCTAGGTATTGACTAATCAAAGTAAACCACACAAACTGCTGATTGATAAATGCCACTATAGTATTCTATGGTGTAATACAGCCCTAATTTCTGATTTGTGTGATCAATTTTAATGAGTAAACATTTGAAAGGTATGAGTAGGCAGACTTAAAAAATCTATATAGCGGTTGTGCTTAGAAAAGTAGTTTTCTAATACATAGAAAATATTAAAATATGATTTTTTTAAAAACAACAAACTTAATGTAAATATAGCACGATGAATATTATTCATGTCAACATGGTGTAGTGGTTTGGGCATTAGAGTATGACTCTGGAACCACTGAGTGATGTTGTACAAATTATACACTCTCACCTTCACTTTGAACAAATATTGTCAAGAAAACCCCATTATAGATTCATCTCAGGGTCATCATAAGTCAAAAATGACTTGGACACACAACACACACACACTGTTTAATATTGGGCTCAGTTCAGTTTTCTATATATTATTTTAAGTGGATACATGCTGACTATGTATCTTATCATATTGGCAATGGGACTTGTCACACATCATGGTGAATCTGTGTGGGCCCAGCAGGGTGTGTGGAGAACCCATCA